AGACACCTTTCTTATTAATGATGATAGCTGATTTAAGTTTGGAAAGAATTGCTGGACAAGATAAGACCAATAACTAAGATGTCCAACTACGTAGATATTTATTTTGTATATAACCAATTACACTTACTCAAGTCCTGTACTTAAGTACAGTTGAGATCCGTTTTATTTTCTGCTACTTCGTCTTTTGACTTCACTACATTCTAGAGGCAAATATACTTTTTACTCCACAACATTTATTTTTATAACTTTTCAGAGCCAGATTATTAACAAGAAAAAAAACTACAGTACAAGTCTTTATTGACCCTTGGTGGGAAATTCGCAAGCTACCCAGCAGTAATCCAAAGTATTTAAGGTAGTCTAAACTAAATGATGTACACAACAAGGCATCAGAAGTTATAATCCAGGAGTTTTACTTATAACAGTATTTTTACAGTTATATTGCTACTTTTACTAAAGGATCTGACTTCAAGTACAAACAATAGGAAAGTGGTGGAAGAAGTTGAACTAAAAGTGAAAGCAGGTTTTATTGTACAAAAACATGACTGTTTGTGGAGCTGAACACAGATACACAAAGCAGGCAACACACCAGAGGGACACAGATTTATGTTCTGCTTCCAGTTTTTTTCAGTCCTCGGTTCCTTGTCTGTTTGTAGCTAATTTACTAAACAAAGCAGATATTATATTGTTTCAAGGTACAAAGATAACTTTCTAAATGCAGATTCAGTAAAATGTTAAAACAGTGAGTGTAGATACTACACACTTGGTCAAAAGAATGCCACTTAAGTTGAGCACTCTTGTTGTTGGCATTACATCTATTATTATTATTACAGCATTATACAACAACGGTTCATAACCGTAAAAAGATTAAAGGCAGGAGCAATATGGTTTAATAAAAGAGTTAAAACTAAATCTCTACAAACAGATATTGTAGTGGAGGACATGTTTAATACCAGGCCACGTACAACAGAGCTTGACTTGCCCTTTCCTGACCACATATATACACAAGTTTAGGGACCAGAAGTTTTCAAAGCTCAAATCTTTTTTTCCATTATATTTTTACCTGACATGAAAAACAGTGAGCTACAGAACTTTGTATTAAAATGCCTTCAGTGTAGGTGATGAGGACAAAATCTACAGTTCTGCTTCGCAAAATGCCTACTGCAGCACTTTGTGTGTGTAGCTGCTCTTAACCAAAGTATTTTAAGAGCAGTGAATTTTAACAAGTGCATGTTCAAATGCATCCAACAGCTTAGGTTAATCTGATCTGCTTCAGAAAACTGTGGAGCGCTGTGGAGTCCTCCACTCGTTTGTCTGTAAAATGTCCTGATGTGGTTTCATTTAGATAGTACTGTAGCTATAAAAGTTAGAATCTGGGCTGTTACCACACTAGATGTTGATTTGCACGCTGCTCTGGATAAAAAAACTAAATGGCATAATTTGGTGCATGGGTTTTGTAACCCTCAGGTCAAGAAAAAGTTTCTTACTGTACAATTTCCTATAAAACAAGCCTTTTCCCACTGGAACTAGGAGCTT